AGATACGAATTTCAAAATTCAATTGATTCTAATCATAAAATATCAAATTATTTACAAATCTTCTGGATTCATCCGGAGGAGACGTTTCGCCAATCACCCAAAAGATTTGTAAATAGTATTACACCAGCCTGTGGAGTCTTTGAAAATATCAGTCAAACTTATTAAAAAACACAAATTATTTTTTGAGCTATCGTTTTCAGAGTATGCATCGATTCAAGAGTCATTCATTTCATGCAGAATCATATAGAAACACCCAAATTGAAACGTACATTTTAGCGCAAAGTAATTCCTAGCAGCAGAAATTAAATCAAATGGCTATTCGCTAAAGTAATTATGCTAATATACCAAATGCCATCCTGCAAAACCGTGACGACAGAATTAGTACTTTGTATTTCACAATTATGAGATAAAGGTCAAAGGCGCTCATTAAAGTCAGTGAATTTCGTGTCGGTAGTGGCATAAATTTGCTAATTTTCGGATAACATACGCGCATTGATTGGAATTGGTACATTCTTGTGAGTTCGTTATAATTAGTAAAAGGGCGACATTATTGCTCCATCGAAATGTGCAGGAATTTCAAAAATGCTAATCCTAAACCCGTCACAGTCAGCTTGGCTTGTAAAAGATGTGACTGTGACGGAACAGCATGAGAGAAGGTTATGGAAAATGGGGTCTCAAGTTCGCCTCAATATGTTTCAAGGTTTCTTATTTGGGAGGAACTTTCTAGTTCAAAAAAGTTGTGGAAGTTTTGAAGAACAAAACTGTCAGAATGTACTTTTTTAAATAAATTTTCCTGTCCTCTGTACAGTTTCTCTGCTTTGAAGTTGAGATCAGTTATTACTTAGTTGTGTTAATAAGTTTTATCACATTCTAAGCAACATCAAGTCAAGATATGGAGTTTCCAGGACTGATCTCAGCTGACTAACTTAATAATTTATAAGGATACTATTATTAGTACCCCAGGGCGTTCTGGGACCCCTCTTTTTTATTATACACATAAATGATATTTGCCAGTACATGATGCCTGATATTGAGATTGTGCTGTTCGCTGACCACACAACGTTAAATAATTCAAACAGGAACATCACTACCCTGAGTAATATTGAAACATATACTTTATCTAAGGCCAAAGCATGGGTTTCAGCAAATAATCTACAACTTAATAAAGCCAAAACAAAGAATTTGTTAGTGTATTGTAACAGTAGTTTGACATATGCCAAAGGATGCAAGATTCTGGGCGTTACCTTGGATGACACGCTGAATTGGTCAGAACACATTGGCGAGTTAAGTAAAAATCTTTCAAATATTCATTTTCTTTTGCGACAACTTCGCAGAATGGTGAGTTTTGATGTATTGAAGTCAACTATTATTTATTTTTAATTTTTTTATTTCACTCGCGTATAAGCTATGCCACCATATTGTGAGGTAAATCCTCTTATGCCATTAAAATATTTAGGATGCAAAAAAAGGCACTACGGATAATTACAAATTCAGATTGTACTGAAGTGGCTTTTACTTGCTGTTCAGATTTTCACATAAATATATTTAAATGACAGCTGTGATAAAGGCACGGTGTTGCCGAAACAGCTGTCATTTAAATATATTTATGTGAAAATCTGAACAACGTTTGTTCTTATTTAACTATTACAAATTCAAATTTTAACGAACACTATAAGCCATTGTTTATTAAACATAAAATAATGACGGTTCATGTATATTTATATTTCAAAGTGTTCTTGAGATACACTCCAAGACCGATAGTTTGCCGAGGGGTTCTGATTCTCATAGGTATGACACCCGGAGTGCAAATAATCTCGTGCCTCCGAAATACATTACATCCGTACCCATTAAGATTGTCTGGTTGCTTACAGGTTTCTATATATTCTTAGATTTGTCTTTGATAGCAGAATTGAGTACATGCAAGAATTTTAGAAGATTACCGACTGAAACTGGCAAGATTACTAGGTACACTGTCATTTTGTTACATTGTGGAGACCAAAACGTTATCCCAAATTTTCTTAAAATATCCCAACATGTCAAAACCTCAACCGCTTATAAAATTCTTCCGAAATCTACTTTAGATTTACTTCGAGAAAGAATTCATCATACCCGTAAAGAAATTGACCAAATCAATAAGACTCTTCTGACTCCGCATCTTGAAATTGCTTCCATCTTGTTCCCATCCGAGTTCGACACCTTTTCAAACATGATTTATGACAATGTTGAAAATCTTCGTTTATCTTCTACCTTGAATCACATTCACAAATAAATATCAGGAAAATATTCAAGATATGCTTACAGATGAACTTAAAAAAGGTCCTAGAACATCTATGGAACCCAACCTTAAATCTGTTATTAAGCCTTCTTCTCTATCAGACTCCGTGAAAAAGTCTATCATCCCTCATGACTCTAAAATCCTTGTCTCTACGGACTTCTTAAGATTCACAAACAAGGATTACCCCTTCGACCTATTGTCAGCACCGTTGGATCTCCAAAATGTTCTGTTGCTAAATATCTAGCTTCTATATTAAAACCCTTTACAGGGAAAACTTTCGTTTCGTTTCGTACTTAATTTCTTTCATTTCATCGAACAATTAAAAACCATTATCATTACCTTTAATAAATTCCCTATTCCTGAAACTCTCAACATTATTTCAGATACATTAAAATCCTAGAATTTGGAACCAAACTTCTCACCTTAACTAGAAAAAGCTTTTCTGGAACATTTTTTTGCTTTAACGGTCAAATTTTTGACCAAACTTCGGGAACAGCTATGGGTTCTCCATTATCACCAGTTATCGCGAATATATTTACGGAATCCTAAAACCAAAATTATGGAAACGCTACGTCGATGATGCTTTTGTTATTTGGCCTCATGGTCAGGAAAGCCTACTACATTTTCTTGGACATTTAAACTCCATGTACCCTAACATACGGTTTACTTTTAAATTAGAAACTAATAATAACCTCCCATTCTTAGATGTTCTTGTCAAAAGAAAATCAGACCTACAATTGGGTTCATTGTGTTTACAGAAAACTTACGCACACAGACCAGATTGTTACATCACCATCCGTCCCAAAAATTATCGGGTATCAACTCTCTGGTTTACAGAGCCGTAAAACTATCTCATCCCAAGTCACTGAACCCAGAATTAAAAAAGCTTACCTCTGCTCTTCTCTCTAATAAATTTCACATTAAAGATATTAAGTTTTATCCATCCAAGCAATTTAAAACATCACTGACCACATATCAAAGGTTCTTAAGAAATATACCGTCAAAACCAGATTTACCACTTGTACAAAAATCTCTCAACAAATTCAATCCGTTAAAGACAAAATTCCATTTGAGATGGCAGGAGTTAACAGCATACGCGGCAAAGAATACATTGGAGAGACCGGATGGAAAATATCGTCTAGGCTCAAAGAACATGAAATAGCCTTAAGACTAAGACAAATAAACTCATCAGCAGTTGCTGAACACAATTACGAAACCGGAGATAAAATTTTATTTTATAAAACAACAAGTCTTGCATGTAATCATTTCTTCTACCAACGAAAAATTAGAGAATCTGTAGAATTCTATAAGCAAACATACAATCTTTACCGCGATGTTTATGCCTTCATTCAGCTCCGCCTTCCTCAAACAATATATAAGCAGCTACACAGTAAAATGCGAGCCAGTTTCAATTAAGCTCCGAAGAAGCCAACAGGATGATTGGCGAAACGTTAGCAAGTTTTGTAAATAGTATTACAGTAGCCTGTGGAAGTTATTTTGAAAACTTAAAAAAGGTCTCTATAGAGTTTGAGAATGAAGTACGGGTAAAAATCTTGAAATGAACGTCAAATAGTCTTACATTACATATCCCCCGGAACTCAAGCAAACTTGGATCAATCTTATCAAATGCTGGAACAAGTTTAGCAACGTCTCCAGTAAGGAGACTTGCCTGGTATCATCAATTAAGTGAACTTGAGCCAGGTAGGATAGATAGCATTACGAGAGGGCTGAGTTGCGCTTTCGAGAAATGAGAAATAGGATTGGCTGGGATGCAACAAAAGTGTTGGGTAGAGTGGTATGTACATCATCGCCCTAGTAGGGTAACTGGGGCTTTGACAAAAGCCAGTGATTACGCAAGATGGCCACCAAAACTTGGAGTCATTAGACCGGTGCAATCGACTATGAGTTGTCCTCCACGAAACAATAGATACAGACGTTTGGTATGATATCCATAAAGAGCTAAACAAAATCGGTAGTGGAATCGAGTATTTTTTACTAACGATGCAAGCTTTTGTTCGCGGGTTCCCGATAAAAGTAAAAGAGTTCGTCGCAGATGTGGAAAAGCGCTACTTTGGGGTGCCAGCAACTACAAGATTTCTCAACAAGGTAATGGCAGTCCACATGTCGCTGCAGTTGCTAGCAACTAACGTAGCCCGCAAGGATACCAGAGTTATTAGATATTGTACATGTCTCCTGCTTCTGCTTCACAAAGTTGCGATTTCTCATACGTGTTGAAGCGACTGTCACTCACTCTTCTGTCAAAACAAGCTTGCTAATGACGTGGTCGGATAACGATTCGAAAAAAAAAAACCACCCAACCAGCCGGTTCTGTCGTCGGTACGTTTGCGATAAAAATCGCGATTCACGCGACATCCACAATTTGCGCAACCGAACTGTTTGTACAGCAACGACGACGTTATCGGCATCGATGGGGCAATTAAAATATGCCCGTTGACAAATCTGTTTTCGGTTAACCGTCACACGTTTTCAGATTTCGCATACATACATTTCGCCCCCGAGAATGACACAAAATAAAATTTACATGATGAATTGTCGCCGTGGAATTGAATGGGAGGCGGCGTGGCGGCGGCGGCGGCGGTGGCGGCGGCGGCGGTGGCGGCGGCGGCGGCGGCATCATCGGGAGTGGTGGGGGGCGTCCTCGCGTAGGCGGACTTGGTTGAGATTCCGACGTCCGTCCGCGTCCGCGTTAGTCGCGAGTCGAAATCAGCCGTAAACAGACAACAACAGAGAGGGGGCTGTCTCGATAGAGCTGCTCTGTGCAACGCTGCTTCAGCTGGCTTTTGCCGCTCCTGCGTTGTTCTGAGCTCGAGCAATCATATACAGACAGAGGCAGCGTACGGTTTGAGGCTTCAGACCCCGAGCATTATCCTCTGAGCAGCAACAAGTGACTATCGACGCGCGTTGTTGTTCCTATGGTTCGGCGGGATGATCACCTGAACACTGAGCAGTGTTGCCACGCGTGAAAGTGCGTGTGTATGCGGCATGAGGGCCGCGTTAGCCACCGCCGCCGCTGCACTGTGGATGGTGTGCGTGGTGGCCACACCGCAACCCATGCACCTCGAGAGGGACTCTTATAGGAGGCCCTCGATCGTAGCCGCATGGCAAAAACGGGTCGACCAACATCCGAAAGAAGACTTCATGACCGGCGATTTCTCCCAACACTTGCCTCAACTTTCTGCTGTTAATTCGCAATTGATGCTCCGCTCGCCTCGTGGCCAAAGACAGTACGACGTTCCTCAGATCGGTAAGTTTCTATTACCACCGAATATTAACTGCGATAAGAAGGGTCACTCTAGGTTTTTCCATCGTTGCGATTTGATCGAACCGTTTGAGAAGACGGGCCATAGGATCCCGAGATATCTTGCCTGGTTTTATGAGGTGTCGTACATCGAAACATACTTACTTCGTGTAGAATGAAGGCTGCCGACTTATTTACTAGAGATGAGGTGTGCAAGGGTTGAAGTTAGAAGTATATCAAAATAAGTCAATGTCGCTTCGAATAACAATGAAATAAATGTTGCTTAATTCCAATTTAATAAAATATATTATAAATCAAAATAAAGAGAAAAGCAAAACAACTTACTAATATTTAACTTGCTATAAGTTTTTTTAAATAGTTAATTTTAGAATTTTCTTTGAATTTTTTTTCTGGTTTGAGATTTAATTCAATGATTAACAAATTTTATTGAAAAATATATTCCCACTCTGCCCGGTGTATTTAAATTAATTGCTCACTGCTTCAAACTTTTTTTTATTATTAGATATAAGAGTTTTGTTTAATCAGCAAAGTCGTTTCGTGCTGTTTATTGATTTTCTCATTTCATTTTATATGTTTCTTCATAGAATTTTTTATATTTATCTTCTCACTCACTTTCAATAAATTGATGGTGTACTTTAGAATGACTTCAAGAGCTTGCAAAATGTGCATTAAAAAATCTATCAAATGGAGAATGTCTTTAAACATTTAATCTAGTATTTTGTTTCATAACATCATGGTTAACTTTTTAAAGAGATGAGTACGGCAATAATTAAGTTAGTTTTAATTGTAGGACAACAATGAATTCTATTAGAGTTAAAAATATAGAGGGCATTCAATTTAAAATATGCGTTAACGAACTTGGTATCTCTAAAAATAAAAAAGTTAGTAATAGTAGCACATCCGGTATTAAGATTCAAAATATGCTATAACAGAACTTTTAAGATATGTAAAAGAGTTATAAACTATATTTTTTTATTGTTTTTGCGCAATCTGATTTTCAAAAAATAAGATAGTAGTAGTATAATAGTACATATAGATGGTATATATATATATATATATATATATATATATATATATATATATATATATATATATATATATATATATATATATATATATATATATATATATATATATATATATATATATATATATATATATATATATATATATATATATATATAGTAGTATAGATAGTCATATAAAATATCATTTAAACAAACCAAGACAGCAATTCTATTGCCAATCAAGTAGATCTTTGTAAAAAATTTCGTCGTTGGTCTATTGGAAGTACAGTCTGTATAAGACAACTGCTAATAAGTATCATTGAGGAGTTCAGAAGAGAAGGGATGGAAACTGGTTCTTCTTGTCGTAGTTAATGTTTGGTGCTGTTGCCTAGTTTTGTTCGAAACCGTGAAGCGTCCATAGCGTCCACCTCGAATTTGTCATTAATTTCAATTGGGGTAAAAAACTGTAGATTCAATTCAAACATTTGTCTTTTTTTGGGACATTTCCTGTAATTAAATCGCTGTTTTCAAACAACAAAGGAATTGCCTTTTGTCGGCCCCGCAAAGAAAACTCTTGAACTTTGCGAATCCTAGGAAGAAATAAAATTATCAAAAACTTCTACGTCCTTAGAAAGGGCCATAAAGTTTTTACGTAATTTTAATTTGCGCCCAACGCATGGAACGAGACGTGAATCCAAACTTAATTTGCTTCTGCTCCGCGTAGGATAACTCAATTCTCCCTAAAGGTCTAACTGAAACTTAAGCTCTATTTCCATAACTGAATTATTTCTCATACCTCTTTGAATTTTTAGATGTGAATCGACATTTATCCCAATGGACGCTTTGAAAAGAATTGTTTGGAAACTTTTCCTGTTGAACTAAGCAGAATATTACAAAAGAAACCCTGGAAATTCTTTTATTAAAACAAAATATTTTATTTTATAGTAAATTTCAGTATATTTGTATTCAAAATTAAGCACAGAATAAAGGTGCTGACCTTGCCAGTAGTATTGTCTTTCCTGGTTTTTCTGGATTCATTGTATGTTATATTATTTTAAAGAATATTTTCAAAAAATATTTCATAATTTTTGAGAAATAATTTAACTGAAATCCTTATTAAAAACTTATATTATGTGTATGTGTATATAAAACAAAAAATTTTTATGTTTGAGACGACCGAAAAAGGATGTAAATTAGTTTGGCGTTTTGGTTATTTCGAGTTGAAAATATTTTATGCGAACTCTTTCGGTAAAAAATAACCAAAAATCCTTAGTAATGGTTTGTTTCAAAAAGCTCAAAATGGTATCATGCTTGAAAAAAATCACCATATTTCCCTGAAATAATGCTGCTGTGAAAACGCTATTGTAAATGGTGTATTTTGCTCGCTTTTTTCCAGCTCGTACTTGACCGCTATCAATGTCCGCGGAATCAATTTTGTTAATGTCTCTTGGAACCTGGCCAAGAAATAAACACGACCTGAAAAACATTTACCATAACTTGAACATCTCTTTTATAGTATCCCTAGTTGTCTCGAGGAAAAATTCCCATTACTTCAAAACCCTTAGAATAAAATAATTCGACAATTTACAATTAGCACGAGAATGTGGACCGCGAAATATTAAAGAAAACAATCCAATTTTACGGTTGTATTGGGTTAAAAAGCACGAAAATATTCGTGTGATTCGGTCAGTGGGAATGTACAGGGTGGCCGGTTTAAGAGGAGCATATACCTTATCTCGAAACCTAAGGGGATTACAAGAAAAAAATAAATACAAAAGTTTTTTTTTATTTTCCCAATCGTCACTTTTTTATATCTAGGGTGGTAAAACAAAGTTAGGTTTTTTTAAATAGAACATCCTATATATATATATATATATATATATATATATATATATATATATATATATATATATATATATATATATATATATATATATATATATATATATATATATATATATATATATATATATATATATATATATATATATATATATATATATATATATATCTACATATTTAATTGCATTTTTGGATAGTCCATAGATAGATAGATGATGCACCGTTTCGATCATCTTCAGAATTCGGGTTATATTTAAATCATCACATTTCAAATTTTTGCGAAAATGGCAAGTCAGAGACCCGTACTATATATATAATTGAAATTGAATTGAAAATCCAATAATATACAAGGTGTCTCATTAGAAAGTTGACAAAAGTATCATTTTACGAAACGTGACGATACCGCGTATTTTAAGAAAATATTTTAAATTTGATCATTGCCTAAGGATAAGCATTATTTTCGTAAAGATAATAGATGGAAAAAAGTTTAAAAAATTAATAAGCAAACCAACTATCATTGTTTAAACAAAACCCGAATTCTGAAGATGATCGCTAAGAAGTTCGAAACGGTGCATCACAGTCCCATACTCCCGTAGGAATATTCCAAAATGCAATAAAATGTAGTTTGTTCTATTTAAAAAAAATTGTTTTACTACGATTAGACAAATAAAATAAAATAATTGTAATTTTAATAGAAACAACTACGACCACGCCAGATATTTATATGAGTGATTTGGATAACATATATTAAGCTGACGTTCGATGACTGTAAATGAGTTTACTTGCACATATTGTTGAATAACATGATTTCTATTATATGAGTTTTAAAATCTTCGGGTACATTTCCTGATAAATTACTGGTCATTAACTTTGATTTTGACAGTGAGCTATTGGGGCACCAGTTTTAATAGATTTACATTATCCTGATATCGAACAAACTAATACCAAATTTGAAATACCAGATAGTGATATGAAAAATACTTTAATATTTATTTTAACATGCTCACTGATTCACGTAGTTGCACCGTGAACATGCTGAATGTTGGAATCCTGAATAAATAAGTGCATAAGGGCCTCGAGCGTGTTCCGTCGAAATAGATTTCACTTTCATCCGCGCATACGAGGCCGCTACTGTTTGGTGATAAATATTTAATCGGGTTAGATAGGTGCCAAATACGTTTATGAACTGCGAGAAGATTTCGCAAGAACTTTTTCCAGGAGTCTTCGTAGGTACGTTATATATTATCACGGTTTGAGATTTCCTTAACATTTTATTTTCTATTCGTCACGAGATATTTAAGTAGCTAAGGATTAAAGTACCCGTTAGTAATAGCCTTCTCTAGACTCAAAAATAACATTGATTGATTGATCTTAAATAATGTATTTCTTGAAAAAACGTCCTACGTCAAGGATCTCGAGATAATGTTAGTTATTGATTAAGAAATATAATGAAATAATAGTTAAGAAATCTTACCGTAGGATTTATGATAGGAGTTTCTAGAAAGTTCAATAATCCTAAATCTGTGATTTTTTTTATACAACACAGAAACAGAATCGAAAACACCCAAAATGAGTTTATATATCGGTTTCACACGTTCTATTTATACACTATTCACAAATAAAATTGGATACCCTCAAATATTAAATCGTATAAATAAATTGGCAGATCTAAGATTCTTAAGAAATCATTTTTTTTTGTGAAATTTTACGCTGTAAACTTTCCGATTACGAAAATAAATTAAAATTTACTATTTTACATAAAAATATTTCACCAAAGTCTGAATTCTACTAGAAAACTCATAATTTCCTATGATTCTATATATAGCTAATCAAGATACATTTCTATTTATTTTTATCATTTAAGAATAGTGTACTGTGTAGTAAGAACTATGTGTACTTGCTAAATTATAATATTTGTACAATATGTTGAGCATCGACATAAAAAAATAAATAATTAAATAAATAACGAAATAAAGAGTTGGAATAACAAACTTATTACAAAAAAGAGCAAGTTTAAATTTAATCGTATTATCGTACATGTTTCAAGTGGATACACGGATAGAAGGGACCCACAGTTTACAGACGGTTCCAAACGGTAAAGGCGAGGAGATGCTTTACTAGACAGAATACTCTTTC